GCCCCGGCCGACCGACGAGCCGCCGGCGCCGGCGCCGGCGCCGACGTCCTCTGCGGCGGCAGCGGCGGCGCGAAGAAGCGCTGTCCCGGCGTGAGGTAGGGACTGAGCGATCGCGTCGCGTCGGCCGAATCGCAGACCGACCTCGCCTCGTCCGACAGCCCCGCGGCCGACCGCCTCGGCAGCGTCCAGACGCAGTCGACACCCGCAGCCGGCCCGGCCCGCGAGCCGGCCTCGACTTGGCCGGCCGGGACTCGAACCAGCTCCCTCGGACCGGCGCCAGCCGGCTTCGCGCGGCCTCGTCGCAGTCCCGACAGGTCGGCCGGGCTCGGCTCGCCGGGCCTCGGAGCATTCGAGCCGGACGAACGGTCGGTCTGAAAGAAGACGGGCTTTGCCAATTTCGGAGACAACGTACCGTTCGGCGACATTGACGAGATCGACGAGACCCCGGCACTGTTCGAGTCGGAGATCTCGATCTCCGGCTCACCGGAGGCCTGGCCGCCGCCGCTGCCGGTACCGGCGCCCACCGACTGGTGGGCCCATCGGTCCGCGGAGACGAAGACGGTGCGCTCGACGCGGTAACTCGGCGGAGAGGTCTCTTGCTCCGGGGTCGTCTGACTGTCCATTCCGTGCGACGCCTCTTGACAGGGTCACCTAGCGCCTAGAGACGGCGAGCATTTGCACAAATCGACGACCGATTGAAAATCGATGCTTTGAGGCAGAGGAGCTAGGCAACGGCAACGACAAAGAGTGTGAGAGCTGGTGAGAAGAGAGGCAGTCGGAGAGGAGTAAGGCGAAAAGTGAGTAGTGCGAGTAGCCTTGTCCACTGGTTCAGCGTCAGCTGTTGTATGCACCACGAGCCAATCAGTGCCCGGCTGGAGCGTGAAGCCGGTTGCGGTGCCTGAAGACGAATGTCTCCGGAGGCAGACAGGCGAACAGAAGCAAATGCGCACAATCGGAGGATGCGTGCAGCGAAGGGGGCGAGAAGAGAACAAGAGACGGACAGACTG